ATCCAGACCAGTCTTAAAACAGGGTATTGGCTTCAATCAATCAAAGTTTATTTATCAAATGCAAAACAATACAGCATGCAGCAGTAGTTGCTGGCAATGATAGATAATAATGTAATAGAAAATGAAAAAAATAAACTCAGACAAAACTCAATATAAATAGAGCTGCGATGGACATAATGTCTCGCATACACCCTGGACACAAGTACTGCAGTGTGCCGAATACAATGAAAACAATGTCCATGTTGCCATTATGGATGATCTGCTGAAGGTGCTGCAGCTTGGCTATTTAGCAGTCTTATTGCCTGGAGGTAGAAGCTATTCCATAATCTGTTGGACTTTGACCAGATGCTGCGGTACTGTTTACCGAATGGTAGGAGAGAAAAGAGTTTGTGACTGGGATGACTGGGGTCCTTGAGAATGGACCTGGACTTCATGCTTCAACAACATGGCTGGGTAGCATGTTCCAAATACCCGTATAGCTGGAGTGGATTATTCAGATCGTGGCTCCACAAGCTGAAGAATTCACTCCACAGAATGGAAGCAAAATCATCGTTGTCTTCCCTGGCCAATACCAGCACCAGAACTGGACGGGAATTAAGGAGACTGACATGGCCATATTAGAATTCTACATGCTGGATCCTGGATCCAAGAATCAATCCGAGAGGGATCCAAAACTCATTTTCAAGGCAGTCAATGCATTCAAAAAATCATTGAAAACTTAATTTCTGTTGGACACAGAAAGGTTAAGTGAAGTGTCACATGTAAAAATATTTTTATATGGCTTACATCAGCACATACAATCATAAGATTACAAGTACCTTATTACAGTTTGCTTGAAATGTTGACTGTCCTAAAGAGTGATTCCACTATAATCTGTAAGGAAAAGCTATTTGTTTTTAAAGCTAGTTTCCTAAATATCTTTACAGCATCTTTGCCCTAGACGTTACCAAATTTCCCAAAGCAAAATAACTCTGAGTAATCATCTATGAATTGAACAGATTGAAGACGTAAACTTTTCCAAAAGTGCACAAGTGCTGTTTCAAGATAATTCTGGGTGAAATTAGAGAGGATTT